AGGAGAAAGGCTAAGTCTGAGATAGTCCCATTACCAAAGGGTCCATATGTTTATTTTGCCAAAGGAAGGGGCGTTGATTGCAAAGCTGCCAAGTTTAACCTAAGGATGTTAAAGTCAATAAGTCTGACTCTACTTCAGGTAGAGCCCATTATCTAACTCTTTTAAGTTTCTATTCTAAGATCCTCATTACATGATGTGACTGGGTCACATGTTGATGTTTTAAAAAATCAAAGAATAGAGAGAAAGCTTAAAGGAAGTATATGCTGATTCTGATCGCGTAGGTGGATTTCGATCGCATCAGAATTTTGAAAGCTGTTACTTAGGAGTTATGATATATTGCTTAGGAATAGATAACAACAAGTTTTTCCTTATGCATTTGCACTATAAGGATAAGTTTTTTCCGCAAAGTTTTGAAATAAAATAAAAGTTTTTAATTTTATATTTATTTTAAATATCCTTACAAGTGGCATTTGTGAAAAAATGGTTGTTTATATGATTCCATTGATAGCAATATTTGAAAAAAAATGGACTTGATTCTTTCGTTTGTGGTAGTGTCATAATTTACCAAATAAGGAAAGATTCTCATTCCCAAGGCTTCAGTTGGATAGAAACTTGGAATCATGCAAGTTGAATAGTATGATGAATGAGAACTTTCAAGCATTGGAAAATTAAGACTTTTTCACATGGATGTGTGAGTCAAGTTAAGGACTAAAGGGATCGAGTACACATTCTTGTGCACTGGTCAAGTCCACCACAAAGCTCGTTAAGACTATTCGTCATGATTTACTAAATTTTAGTAAATATGGTTATACTTACAAGTTTAAGTATAATTCTGAAACATTGGAAAAGTCTCAATGTATGGCAGAACGAATGGGAAGAATCAAATTAGGCAGACAGATAAAAGTTTCTCAAATCTGAAAAGATGGGAGAGTACTTTAGTATCATGTTCTGTGATCATCTTAATGATTAAAGAACCACATCACAATTGGTCTTCTAAGGACATCTTAGTGCATTCTTATGACTAAGAAGAGGAGTCATGAATTGTTGAAATGGTTAAATCAAGAAGATGAGTCATACTTCGTTTCAAAACAAGTCTTAGAGTCATACTCCAAGACTATAAGTTGAGTGACATATCTTCAAGAAAGGTTTATAACACTTGTCAAATGTAAGAGTAAAGTGTCCTACTCTTGTACATTTGAAGTTGGCAAGTTGTGATGTTTTGGATTAAACAAAGACCAACTAAGGCCATTGTGTGAAGTTTTTGTCTTGATAAAGAATCCGCACTATCTCTTGAATATTTGGCAAGATAGTCTTATATGTCAAGAGGACAGTGGGAGTCTTAAAGATCCTAAAGAGAATTTCAAGAACTAATCAAAAATAAAACCTGAGGTTCTTCACTAACACACGACTTGAGGTTTACAACCTATCATGTTGACATATTCTGTGCCCATTCCAGTTAAAGTTGGCTTTGCATAGGAGTTCTGAAAGTTCTCAATTGGTTGCATAACAACTTGGAAGCAATGGCAGGCCCTGTACTGCCAGGTGGCAAGAAGTTAAGATTGCATAAGTTCAGTCCATATGAGTTTGGATTTGTCATTATCCTTGTCTTGTGACTATGGTTTTGACGATTCACATGGATAAGAACACATACACCATAAAATCTAAGGGTCATAAGGTTTCTCTCCGATTCATGAAAATGATGGTGAGGAAACACTTCCACCAAGTAGATTTGAAGTAGATGGCAAAAGGTCTAAACAATTGAGACTATGATTACGGCATCCCTTTTCATAGTTCTGAAATTGTTTAGACACACATGCATGCTATCTAAGGAAAGGTGTATGATTTTGATAAAGTTTTATCAAAGCATCTCGTATCAGAAATCTGAACCTTGGTAAGGAAGTCAATAAAGTATTGATTTCTAGAAGTCCAGCTGATTTCTGAGTACATGTCAAAGCTAGTGGGAGCATAAGTGTTATGCTAATAATCATCATGTTAGTGGGAGCATGATAATTATTGTTAGTGTTGCAAGTTAGCAATGTTAATTATAGAAAACAAAAGTTTCAATTCGTGAGGCTGCAGGGATTGAAAAAGTTGTTTTGCAAATCTATCCTTAACTAACCAGCTCTAGAATGCAAGTCTACTAGATCATACAATAGACATACAAATGCATCCCTCCTATCATGAAATACTGAGCAGATCCTTAGCCGTAATCTAGCATGCAATTCTCATAATCATAGCATATAACATAATAAACATGTATTGGTATTCAGGGAACCACTTACTTGAGCTCGGCCGATTGCACGCATCGCACCCCTTTCTTTGATTAGAAAATTCCTTTTTAGTTAAATGTTTATTTCGTAAAAAATTTCACCAAACCCTCAGTTTGAGTTTAGACATACCCGAGAGTATGCCCAAATCCCTCAAACCAAGGCTATGATACCAACTTGTAACGACCCAAAAATCCAGGGTAAAAATTTCATTTTTATTATATTCAAAACACTATTGTAACTTTGTTCAAAACATTAAAAAGTATTACAAATAAAATAATTATCAGAGTCCAATCCCAAAGATCACATATTATGGAAAGCAAGGGTGTGTGCGCTGCGATCGTCCCGAGCTCTTTTATTTGAAACCTGGAGTACCTGAAACAAAATTGAAAACTGGAAGCACAAAGCTTAGTGTGTTTCCCATACATACCCCACATGAAACCACATAAGTCCACATAAGTCATGCACACAAACATATAAGGATGTCATGGAAACCCTCCATGGTCTTACTCCGGGTGCCATGGGAACCCCCACATGGTCTTAACTAACTGCCATGGGAACCCCCACATGGTCTTGACTATCTGTCATGGGAACCCCCACATGGTCTTAACTATCTGTCATGGGAACCCCCACATGGTCTTATCTAACTGCCATGGGAACCTCCACATGGTATTCATATAACTGCCATGGGAACCCCCCACGTGGTCTTCATATAACTACATAACACATTGACAACACATTCACAAAGAACCACTACAACTAAATAACATGGGCCGACCTTGGTGCCTTATACCCATTGATATGGTGGGAAGACTCACCTCGAATGCTGAAGCTTACTGAAAGAAATCCCTAGCTGCTGCCCTGACGACACCTCCGATCTAACAGATCAAAATAACACCCAATTAGCAATTGGGTTCCATTCTAAGGCCCACCATCCATACTTGGGGTAAAATGACCATTTTACCCTAGACCCAACATGAACCGAAACTGAGGCCCAATTCCGTTAACCAAAAGGTCCACAAAGGCCCACTAATGGCTAAATTTTCCAAATTGGGCCCAATCCCATATGTGCCTTATCATAAGCCCATATTTTCCTTAATTACAATTCAGATTACCTCAAACACCCCTTGGGACTAACTTGGTCAAAGGCATAAGTCAAAAGTCAAAGTCAACGACCCAAGTTGACTCAACTCGCCGAGTTGTCCTTCAAGTTGTCCTTCAACTCGTCGAGTTTCTCCCCCAGACTGCAAATTCGGGAAAAACCGATCCAACTCACGGAGTTTATCCATAAACTCACCGAGTTCATCAGAAACCAAACATCTTAATCCATTAAGCCACCATTCTTGAAACTAAAAGCTTCACCACTCAGATCTCAACTAAAATAGCATCTAGAAGGGTAAAATTTCCAACTTTACCATTAGGAACCATCAAAATGGGTTAAAAACCCAAACCCTAGGCTTAAAGGGTTAAGATCTTAATCAATAATCACTTAATCATCAAGACAAAGCCTCAAAATGCAGATCTGGTCCTTTAAGACTGCATGGCCATGTCAAGTTTCCAACTTTACACTCATGCATCACTAGGAGAGGCTCAAATGCTCAAAAGAGACCAAAAGAAGAGTTTAATGGGTGCATGAAGCCCTTAAGACCATAAAGTTGGTACCTTTATGCCAAAAGAACTCATGAAGATCATAGACCTGAAAGGATAACACTTGGAACGTCCTACATCCCCATCAACCACCCAAACATGACTAAAATCATACAAACTAACCCATAAAGAGATCTAAGCATCTATTAAGCAAGGTTAGAACTTTATACCCGAAATGTGCTGGAAATGGAGCAGAGAATCAAGATCTGAAAGCTCCTACTTGAACCACCACTTTGCACCAAACTTCTCTTCCTTACATGAGCTTCAAACACACCAAAACACACCCACAATGAGCTCACAACACTCAAGGATGCTCCAGGGTTTCGAGATTAGGCTTAGGGGCTATGGAGTCTGGGAATGAGGCCAACACCTGGGACTTAAGGTGTTTAAATAGGGTGCAAAACCCTAAAATTAGGGTTTCTCAATCAGCGTTCAACTCGTCAAGTACCCTTCACCAAGTCGATGAGTTTGTCCTTAAAAACACGCGAGCCAAAAGCTTCCAACACGTTGAGTTTATGCCATAAACTAGACGAGTTGGCCCCTAAAAGGGAATTTATTTCCATAATTGACCTTCTAGATTCCGGGTGTTACATAATAGCATATAATCAAAAGGCAAGAACAAAGACTACAAACAAAGCTTAAGAACTAAGAAACAAAGGCAAAAAAAATGCATTCAAATCTCAAGAGACGAGAATAAAATACGATCAAAGCTTAAGAACTACAGATTATAGAAAAAAACACATGCGAGTTCTTGATGGTAAGAAACTAATGCAAGTTAGAATGAGGGACCTAACATGCTAGTTTTTGAAATTCCAGTCACCCAACCTTCTTTTTGCTCTTTCTTCGGGTTTCCTCCACGAACGCACCACCTAGGAGCCCTAATCATATTCCAAAGGCTCAACTTCAATTCAAAGCGCAAGCCCCCTTTTATTGCATAACCTAAAAAAGCTATGATCAAAGTATAGGTACCAAAATTGCAACAAATTAGATAGTTGAACCAAAGATGTGATGAACACCTAACATCATGGACCATACATGTAATTTACTCATAACCGATAAATAGGTTGGAACGGATCATAACTGTGCATGACCATCTTCTTCAATTTTGCAGAGAAACCCCTAGCGTGCAATTTACGTCCAAATCATAATCTTCACAATGCATAACAAGATTGGTGATTTGGTTCCCCTATTAATTAAAACCTATAAATATCTTGAGAGGATCAAATCGGTGTCTCTCACTATTTGTTCAATTCTGCACAGCAATCTCTTAGCGTGTGATTGACGCCAGTTTTCGAAGCCCCACAATCCGAAAGTCTTCTGCTTCAACAGAAGCTGTCACCGAACAGCAGCAGCAACGGAATAAGGAACACACAAAAGTTACTCGGGCACCAAAACGTTCAAAGGTTTCGAAGCCTGAATCAGAGCCTGAGTTCTTCGAGGAGCAGCGTGATATGGTAAACTAGTATGTCTTGCTGATTTGTGTTTTAATGTTAATACTCTTTTAGTATGTCTTGGATTTTATCTTCTCTTGTTAGATGGCTTAATGTGTTCTTACCTATTGACTATTGTTATTGCAGGAGGACTTATGGAAACAGGCATTCCCTGTTGGAACAGAGGTATAACACTATATGCCACCATTTATGTTCATCTCGTTAGTTTTGTCAAATTGTGTAGGCTGCTCATTGGGTTTGCCCTTTTCATGACAGTGGCACCAGCTTGACTTGCTCTCTGAATACAAATGGAATTTCTCAAATCTTGAAGTGAGTTACATTCTATTCTAGTGCTTGTTTTATATCCCAAGGCCCCATTGTTGTTATCCATGACTTGTACTATATATGGTTTGCATTGGACTGGGATTGAGACTGATGCCAATGGGACAAAAAGACTTGAATACCCTTTTCATTTTCATCTTAAAAATAACCCTAGAAAGCTTGTCTAGCTGATGTCATTCATGTTCCTCATAGTCTACCATTGAGAAAAAATGTAGGTATTTGTTAGAAATATATGCAACAAAGTCATCTAACAAGAGAAGATACAATACTTTCATTTCATGATCAACCAAAAGGGATCTGCATACCTGTAGTGGTTGCGGTTAGTAGAGGACAATTATTTTCTTTCCTTCTTTTTTAAATACTTCAGGATTTGCATACATACCCCTTTCTTATATTTACTTTTTTCAAATATTGAGCAGGTTGTATCTCCATTTCCACCTTCTGATAAGATTGGAATTCAATCTGTGTATAGAGAGTCTGAAGAAATTCTTGACATGAAACAGATGAAAATGGATTGGGTTCCATATATTCCATTAGGAAAACGGTAATTATTATTATTTTTATATCGACAACCATATCCAATATGTTCCAATTAACGAATTTCATTCTTGATTTCTTACAGGGGTTCTTCAGTTGAAAGACTCAAATATCAAATCTTCATTCTAAGCTGTGTCCAAAGAAGGTATTCTCCCTTGATTAAGTTTACATCTTGACATTTGAGTTTCTCATTAAGTCAATTAAGTCAAAAATAATGTTTATTAAGCAGTTCTCTTGTTTCCAGTTTATTATAGAATGTTGCTCATTTTCTGATTTGAAAACAGGTCTAGTTTGAAACATCTGAAGCTGGATCGTGTCTTAAAATTTCAATACTGCTTACCATGTAAGTACATGGAATGGATGATTCTTGAAGGAATGTTATTCTTTCATTCCTTGGTAGAAGTGAAATACAGGGTTTATAATTTGGAATAAGTTGTTTTTTTTTTTTTTTACAGACTTCAATGATCCCTTTAAGGAAGATGAAAATGAGACAAGAATCACTAGTGTGGATATCAATTATCCAATGGAACCAAAGCCTGTAAGTTGTTTTTTTGCACTTGTTGTACGTTTTGCTTAATGAGCAAAGAGAAAAAGGCTGCATTTGAAAACATTAAGTTTTATAAATTCTACCCTGTTACCACACCCGACACCCCAGATGTCTCAAATCTTAAGGTTTGCTACCTTTTTTTTTTTTTTTTTTTTTTTACAAAAATAAGTCATTATTACAAAATGAACTATTTACCCTTGATTTAGATCATCAATTTATGTTTATCTACATTGAAGGATGTTTGTTAACCATGTGTGTCTTTTTTCTTGCAGTCTCCATACATTAATCGGTACTATGGAAAAACATATCAAGTATATTGACCAGAATACCCTTGAGAATGCGACATCAAGATTTTTGTAGCTCTAGGAATATTGAAATTTATTGAGTCTTACTTTGGCCATCAAAGAACGAGTTCATTTTCAATGCGGATTGGACCTTCATCTTACCTTTTTTATGGAATTAATTAAATGCATTTTATAACTTGTATCTAAATATGTTTGTGCATCCATCCATATATACATATATCCCTTTATACATACAAACATGGTATCATGTATGTATGTACGAGAAAATCTTTTCAGGGGCTGTTTGGTACTTTTAAAAAAAAAAAAAAACTCAGGGTCTGTGTTTCAAAGAGACATGAGAAATTATAATTTAGAAGGTAGATAAATTGATGTTCATAAAACTGTTTAAAATTGTAGATAAATTGAAACAATCTTAAGTCTTAACCTTTAAAAAATAAATTTCAATTAAACTTCTTGAAGCCAAAGATACGCATCATTTTTTTAGATGGGCGTTAATTATTATTTTTTTTTAGTAAAAGGTTTGTTGTGAACATTGGACAATATAATAATTAAATTTCAAATTAAATATGAACTATTTGTAAAGTTAACATATAGAAAGCAGAATATTATTGTACATTGTAGACAAATTGATGTTCATAAAACATTTACCAAAAACAAAACAATTATTTGGGGATATTTATCGGTTGTTTCTTTTTTCCATCTCCGTTGTTTATTGTGTCTTCCAATTCTTTCGCGACCACGCCATCTTTCAAAACTTTGTAAATCAATGGTATAGCCAAAATTTTGTTTTAGGGTAGACCAAATAATTTACAAAATATGAGCAACTAGCAAAATACTGAAAATGGTAACAAAATGTAACAATATATGGTTTTAAAGTAAATTGTCCATTTAAATTGAAAGTAACTGATTAATTAAGATAATAAAAAATATTAATATACAAACCTAATGAATAAGGAATTCACTGTGGAGATTGAAATACAATTTGATCTATTCAAAAAATTATTGTCTTAAATCTTTAATCCACACGTCTCAACATGTAAATCCTTCATTATGAATTTAAGTTTAAAATAGAGTGGGTCATGTTACAATTCACAGCCCTAACATTTTTTATTAATAGAAATATAAAATTTATATATAATATATTTCACCTCAAATTTGTGTGGGAGTGGGCCAAGGCCCAGAGGCGGACCCAAAATTTTTTTTAAACAGGGGGCAAAAAATTCAACTTGAAGCGGTTTGAAGATGTACACAAAAAATAAGAATTTGATAATCGATAGAATTTATGCTTGCTTTATTGATAGAAATAAGACAAATCAAATTATCTTGCAAACAAGTATCTTCCAACAACAATTAAACCACAGTTATTATAGTAAACAAAACATAGTCATTTTTTTAATATTATAATTAGATAATGGACAACCACTTGTCTTTTCCAAGAGATCAAAAGAACCATAAACCAGGGAAATACAAATAAAGTAGTTCCATTAAACAATGGTCATCTAATAAATAATAACCTGTCATGTACTCGGTAATTGGCAACGACGGGATCTCATAGTTTGAAATCTTTTCAAAATGCTGTCATTTGGAATCGTTTGAAAAATCTCTTTCTCGATGTATGTAACCAAACAATCATTCAACCATTGGTCCCTAATTTTGTTGTGTAATCGAGTTTTCACAATCTTCATTGTTGAAAATGATCTTTCAACTGAAGCCGTTGAGATGTGTAAAACCAAAACTAGTTTGATCAGTCGATAACCCAAGTGGTAAATGAAAATTTTCTTTGTCTCGACTAGCTTCATTGCAAGGTATCCAACTGCCTTTTATCCAGAAAAATGAACACTAGATTTCATATCAAAAATATACGTGTCAAGCTGGTTCTCAAGAACAAGTATGTCTGTTTCAAAAAAGTCTGAGGGATAAAGTTGGGCTAAGGTAACCAATTTCTCCTTCTTGAAAGATGAGAAATAATCATCGGGGTTCAAGCAAGCCATACAAAGTAGCAATTCAGTAGTGGTTTCATTAAATCTACTTCTAAGTTCTTGAAGCACCCAATCTATCACATTTTTAAATAAATCATTTTCATAATGATGAAGGTTTGTCACTTGCTGAGCTACACGACGAGGCCTACCTCGAGCTACAAAGACATCATCCATCTTTGGAATAGCAATACTATACTTTTCACAAAATAAATAAACTTCTTTGACCAATGATTCCCACCCTTCGTTTCTCAGTGTCATTAACCTTTGTTTTGAAATACCAACTAGTTCCATAGCATTCACTATATCTTGATCTTTCCTCTGTAATGCCAATGATAACTCATTTGTAATTCCAAGTATACTTTTCATCAAGATCAACGCAAAAACAAAATCAAAAGATTGTGTCCAATCCAACAATATGATCGCTTCTTCCTTTTGCTCAGAGCTCCCACAATCCTCAACAACATACTCAAGTATCTCAATTATAGAAGAAAATAAGATACCGATGTTCAACAATGTTACGTAATGAGATCCCCATCGTGTATCGGTTGCCCTTTGAAGAGTATATTCTTGATTTAACCCTTTACCAGTTTCAATATTTCCAACATCTATTGCTTCCAGGATCTTCTCAGCTTGTTTCTCACGAAGCATATCTTTACGCTTACAAGAGGCTCCAACAACATTCACTAACTTACTAATCATAGTGAAAAGCAAAGCAATATCAACATGATTCTTAGCTACAACAACAAGGACCAGCTGGAGTTGATGTGTGAAACAATGTACATAAAATGCAGAGCTGTTATCCCTCAAAATCAGACTCTTGAGACCATTAAACTCACCTCGCATATTGCTAGCTCCATTGTAGCCTTGCCCACGAATTCGCGACATAGTAAGCTTGTATGTTGCAAGTAATGAATCAATGGTTGCATTCAAGGACAAAAAGTTAGTATTTGGTACATGTACAATCCTAAGAAAGCGTTCAATTACGTAACCTTTTTTGTCTACATATCGAAGTACAAGTGCCATTTGTTCTTTTGTAGAGACATCACGACATTCATCATCTAAAATAGAAAAGTAGTCATCCCCAATATCTTCAGTTATAAGCTTACTAGTTTCAATTGCACAAGACGATGCTATATCTATTTGTATTTTATGAGAGTACAACTTGTTGTTTTTTGGAGCATTTTGCAAGATGAATTTTCTTGTTTCTTCATTGTGGTCTGCCAAAAACTTCAACAACTCTCTAAAGTTCCCCTGATTACTTGAAAGTTCTGACTCGTCATGGCCCCGAAATGCTAAACCTTGATGTAGAAGGTATCGAACACAATCAACAGAAGTGAGTAATCGAGTCTTATACTCAATTTTGACTTGATCAGATTGCTTAACAAACGAATACACAATGTGCTAATTTTGATTCATCAAGTCTTCACATTTTTGTCGGGCTTGATTGTGAGCACTCCCTGGACCACCAATATGAATTTTAAATCTTTCCTGCTTTTTCAAATTATTGAATCCTTCGGTTATGAAAGATTTGCCATCACTTGCTTCGACATCATCATCACATAAATAACAATATAAGCAGAATGCAACATCTTCCATCACGATGTATTCTAACCAAGGTTTGTATAAATCCAAATCGAGCCAACCACTAATAAATCTCCTTTTCGTCTTACCAAAAGATGTTTGACGGAACTTATGACCATGCGGTTGATGAGGACCTCTTTGTAAGTAGGCTCTTCAAATTTTCTCACGATCATTAGGATTATATTTAGGCATTCTTCTTCGAGTCACAGGGTCGGCAAGAAGCTCATTTAAATTAATTTCTTCACAATTTCTTTTTGAACTTTATCCCATGTTCGTAGTTTGTTCCAAATTTGGCTTTCTTTTTGAACTTTACTCCATTTTTGTAGTTTGTTCCAAAATTGGCCTTATTTTTGAGCTCTGCCCCATGTTTGTAGAAGTTCTAATAATAAACTTATCCATTTCCCCTGTATTTATAATTACAAAGTATAAACCCTAATTAAAAATAACACCCAAATAAGTGAATAACAATTGTATCAGAAATTCAGAATATATATATATATATATATATATATATATATATATATATATATATATATATATATATATATATATATATATATATATAAAGAAGATCAATCAAAGGTAAATTATTTGAAAACTATGGACATGGATGTGTGTATTGGGTATAGAAAGTGAAATCAATTAACAATTCAACATAATAAGATTCTATGACATAAAACCCAATTATTTGAAAAATAATAAAAAAAGAAAGTATATGAATATGTGTCATGTGTACCTGGCATGAAGGATGAATCAATGGAAAATCAAGTTAAACACAAAACTCAAAACTGTAAATGAAAGGAGCAAGTGTTGGTGATTTTAGTGTCACCATGTCGTTTTATGTAACTGGAACTAACATGTGAGCTAAGGGGCTTCTTAATTTGTACTATAATATATGAACGGATTGGTACGGGGTGCACGCATGTATAATATCGAATTAGAAGCCGGTTCGACGACTAGTCGAGGGTCCGGGGGCAGCGCCCCTGGGTCCGGGGTTTCCAAAGGGGCAGCGCCCCTAGCGGGGTCCAAGGGGGCAGCGCCCCAAAACCTCACCGAATTTTACATATGGGAACATAGTGGAAAATTCAATTTCTTGAGGGTGATTATGGTAAAACTAACGAAACTCGTTAGTTTTGGTAACCCTAAATCCTCATTAGATCCGGATTATCCTGACTTGCTTCCAAAGCAACTAATGACGACCCAACCCTAATGAAACCCTAATCGTGTTTAATATATAAACGGTTCTTCCTCTTCAGAAGAAGGTTACGATTATTAGCTCTCGTTTTCATCAAACTATCACAGAATCTCTGTAGCAAATTGGCTTATGATTTCTGTGCCTAGAATCATAAGTGTCCACTTGGATTATCCTAGGCTGAATTTCTTGCAACCCAGGCATAGGGTAGAAATATCAGTTCGGAAAGTGTTCTCACGATCCAAGTTGGTATCCAGATCTCC